TTGGCCAAGGGTCAGCACAGCGAGAGTGCCACATTGGCCAAGGGTCAACATCAAGGATGCATTGCAGCGTTGACGATACCATATTGCAGTGAGAAGTTAATCAAAGCCCTGTCTATCCTTTCAGCTGGATGTAAAAGATCGCATGGCAGTTTTCAGAAAACAGCAAAGGAGTTCTCCCCAATGCCTCAGCCAATATTTGTCCTTCAACTAACATCAGAACATATTATTACTTTGCTGTACGTGGAACCTTGTGTGTGAACTGGCTGCTGTGCTTCCGAAGTTACACAGTGACTACATTTCAAAAGTGCCTCATTGCCTTAAAAGATGCATTAGAACATCCTTAGGTTATGAAAAAGATGCCACAGAAGTGCAAGACTTTCATTCTACCCAAATTATTTATTTGTTATGGGGGGCTGCTGTAAAGCTTCTTTGCAACCCTGAAGGTCATCAAATCGAATGCTGGATTACCTATTTGACCATACAGTCTATAATACTCACATTGTTGCCTGCAAATGATTTATTTTGAATACCATCAGAAACATTTCAATTGGGCTTTTGTTTATTACTGTTACCAGGCTTTTTAGTCTGTTTAATACTGAACAGCGATAGATTGCATTTATATAGCCCCATTAACATTGCAAAACATGTCAAGCAGGTTTAATAAAGGCAAAAGGAAAAAGCAGAATAGGTCAAGGGCAACAAAAGCTGAGTTTCATAAAGATCTTCAACACACCAAAAAGCACTTGCAACATAAAATGCAAGAGGTAGGAGCAGTTCAGCTTGAACTGTGGACTAACACAGAGGCTACGAGTACGATTTAACCTTGACCAAGACCGGTGATGCTATCGCGTACTCTAACCAAAAGCACCTTGTATGTTTTTAAGGAAGAAACCCTTTCTCAAATCTCGTCTAACATTAAAGGCCCTCTGAACTCTCTCTCTTACTACCTGCTACCTCATTCACTAGCCCGTCTCACCTCACCATTGATGATCAGGCTTCCCAAAAGGAGAGGAAAGTAAAGAGGAGGAAGGGTCAGTGAGGGAATGCCACTGAGCCGTATCTAAGGGCTACAAGCACAACCATCAACGAGAGTCAGATGAACAAAATGCCCTCACGACAGAGATCAAGGATGTGTGGAGACACTGACATTTAGAATGAAAAGAGGATTGATAATTATTATTTACATTGCAGGAGTAATTTAACAAAATCATGCTCCCAAGTCAGAGTTTCACCACAGGGAGCACTCATCAGGAACCTGGTGCACACGGGTACAAGGCTCCATCAGGAGTGCAGGTTTACAAAATTAATCAATCGTTTTCACATCACCTATTACAATTGCACGATGAAGGTTGAAAGGTCAAAAATTCCAAATATAGAAAACTCCGCATACAGCTCTGAATCTAATGTTGCCGACTGCGAGCTTCAAACTGCGAGCCTGATTCAGTGAGAGATCAACCCCTCCCAAAGGAGCGTCTTACCTGCAGTTACTTTGTTCAAAGCCACCAGTGAACTAAGAATCTTGTTGAAGTTTTGTCCTTGATAAAGGTCATTGGCATCAAAAGTCTGTGGGAAACCAAAGGAGTAGACAGTGTCAATATTTTTATTGTTAACACATTATTTCAGTCTTCAGAAAGTGGAGCTTCCAGAGGTGGGGCTGCTTGATGAACAAAAGCCAAGGTTACAAGTCCCGGACATTTACAGCCAACAAGCCTTTCAATATTTAAAAAGTTCCAATGTATTTTTGAATGCATCTATATCTGTGAAGACTTGTCTTCATTCCTGACAGCAGGAGAAAGCACGCACATTCTCATCTCCAGTTTATCAATTAAATCAGAATTCCTGCCTTTTCCACAAACATCAGCTGCTGCCTATTTCACCAACTCAAACCATCCGAAACAAAAACCGTACTTGTACCTCTAATCTCTATCAAATCCACAAAAGCGAGTGAGCTTTAATTGCGAGGTTTTCAATCAAAATATTTAATCTGGGTGTTCACAGGAATCTCAGCCTTAACCGAGCATGCTCCACAATTTCAGCTGCTTGGAAGATTAATTCCATTCATCTCTGCAATTTTAAAATCTCAAATCATGAAATAAATCAACCTGTTCTACTGTATGACACATTGGGAAAAATAAACTGCAAGCAACTTAGAAATTGAGCTTGGTTCAATTACGATCCACTGTCATTATTCTCACTAACCACATTATATTACAACAAGAATATGTGAGTTTAAAAAAAAGTCTTTACCATACTCTGCACAGTAGAGTTGTCCACATTTCATATAAAACCCAATAGTGCACAAGTAAAAACGCCGTTCCCTCCATATACTTCATGATGTCAGTGTGAAGCATGGGCAGGAGGTGTCCTTCACCAAGTTGGAACTTTGAGTACTTGCTGATGTTACATCATGTCTATCACCTGCTCACAATGCGAGATGGCACCAACATACGGTAGTCTCATGCAAGAAAGAAGTTTCAGTGCAGTTTTTATCAAGATCTTTTGCACCTCATTTCAAAATCGGGGAGTTCTCCCTTGTACCCTGACAAGCAATTTATACTTTGAATGAAGGATGAATCCCAGAGTGAACTGGTGATAAAGAGGCTAGGCCAGGCCAGGACTGTGACCATTAAACTCCTTCAATGTGTGGAACCCATACAATAGCTATAAATATCATAATCAGTCAATGAGAATTTGAGGCTTCCAAGGCACAGCCAACATAGTTTCAAACTATAATGAAGTTATGACACAGTTATGGCACAGAGGCATTGTACAAAATACTTCTAAAAGGGCAAAAGAATTAATTGAACCTCATCCAATGTGACATTGAGACACAATCAAATAAGGAAGTTACCCCTTATTAACAGTAAGTTTTCCATTCAGCAATTCTGATAGCTGGAGAGCCATTGGTTTTTTAATTTTCTGATTCTCATTCCCAGGCAGATAAGGTTCTGGCACCAAGAGCTTGTAGGTGGAAAATATAACCTTTCACGAACTGTCCCTATAAATTGGTGTTATTCTTATCAGCAGCTTGAAAAAAAACAAAGATTTAAAAATGAAGAATGAGAAATGGGTTGCCTGGGAAACCAAGCCGGTTTGATCGATTTCAAAATGAATCAAGATACAGAGTAGACACATACTGAACTATATATAATGTAGATATTAACAAATACTTGAATTCCAGGCCCACATTATAACCTGCTCACTAGATTACAGAAGGGATTGTGTTTATATCGCACTGTTTATAATCTCTAGACATCATAAAGTACACTGTAGGAGAAGTATCAGCCAATAAACACAGCAAGATCCCACAGACCGAAAACTGATAATGACCATATATTTTTAGTGGTGTTATTATTTAGTGGCCAAGACACGAGGCAAAACTCCTTTGTACTTATTTGAATAGAGGACAGTGGAGACTCAGATTAGCATCTATTCTGAAAGAGGGCACAACTGACAATGCAGCACCCCCTTATTATAACATGAGAGGATATACTTGGATCACGTGCTAACATCTCTGGAGTGGAACTTGAATACCAACATCCTGACCTAGAGGCAATGGTGCTATCTACTGGGATATAGCAGATACTTTATACCCAGAGAATGGTGAGAAAACAAATTCACTAACACATGGATGGTAAAGGAGACTAGCCACAGAGACAATTAAGGAGATACTAGATAAATACAAAGGAATAAAGGAATAGAGGATATTCTGATAGAATTAGATGAATGATATCTAAAGAGGTTGTGTGGAGCATTACCAATGACATGTACCAGTTGGGCCAAATAACCTGTTGCTATGACGTAAATATTATCTAACACTTCCTAGTACATGTCTTGAGATGATTGAAAGATCTCCGTTTAAATGTCCTCAATTTGAACTCTAGGGAATTCACTCACAATCTTTAATTCCAATGAATAATCCAAATCATTGTCAATATACAGTTTTGCACCTGAGAAGTTGACCTGAAATTTGAAAGTCAAAACACGCGGCAGGCTCCATACAGAACAGTATAAAAATGGTATTTTTAACACTGGGGACTGATTCTAACTTCAACGATATTATGGATTTGTTTTGATTATGTATACCACTGATTTCTTTTAAACCTTCTGTTCCTTTGCTGGTAAATACAGAGAATAATTTTAGCCTGTATGCACCGGGAGGTGGTAGAAGCAAATACGATCATAAAGTTCAAGAGGCATAGACGATCCCATGAGCAGGCAGAGAATAGAGTGAATCAGACCACGTGCAGGCAGATGGTATTAGGTTAGAATAGCATCATGGTCAGCACAGACATTTTCGGCCAAAGGGCCTGTTCCTGTGATGTGCTGTTCAATAGCATGGATATTTGTATCATTTGGATATTTGTATCATTCAGTGCCTCTTTGGGAGTCAAGGGGTGCAGAGTGTGTGGTCAAGGGATCAGAGCTATTTAGTATGGCTGTTAGCTACCACAATCTTGCCCCTCACCCCATGCCCCACAATTGACCCTGGAGTGAAAGAAGTGCAGGCCCTCTCCTACCCTCACAGGCAGGTCACTCTGGTTTTGCCGTCAATAAATCAGCCACTCTTAGTGCATGCTGGGAAGATAGTTAAATCAGGACATTTACCTGCTAACGCTTGTAAGAGCAGCTGTTAATGGCCCATTTAAGGGCCTTAATTGTTGGCAGATCAGGTAAGTTGCCCATGGATTTTCCCAACCAGAACCTAACTGCTGGGATAGTGCGCAGGTATCAACCACCTATCTATTTGCCCTCTGGCACCTGTCCTGCTAATAATAGGAAGGGAAATATTCTACCCATAGAATCAAGAATCTTACACATATTGAGGAACTATTTCATCCTATGCCAGTTCTTTGAAAAAGTTATCCAATTAATCACATTTTCTCCTGTTCTTTTCCACATAGTCTTTAACAAGTATTTAACCAATTTTCTTTATAATGTTACAACTGAATCTGCTCCCACCATCCATTCAGCAAGTGCTTTACAGATTATCCTAACTTGTCACAATAAAATTTCCAACTCACTCTGGTTCTTTTACGACTATTGTAAACTTGTGTCAAAGTTATTCACAATTTTGACTGCTTCTATTAAATGTCTGGTCATCTGTTTTTGTTCCAAGGAGAATAATCACAGCCTCTCCAGTTTCTCCACAGAATTGAAGTTCCTTATTCCTGGTATCATTGCAGCAAATCCCTTCTGCATCCACTCCAGTCAACACAACACTCTTTCTGAAGTGTGGTGCCAAGAATTGAGACCACCCTGGTGATGTACAAGGGTGCAGCTTAAGCTCCTTGGAGCAGCGGTCTCAAAGGAATCATATCACAAGTAGTTAAAACACAGGAACAGGTATATGAGAACTATGGCAGAATTGGACAAATGTATAATGACATTTGATTTTGGGAGTCTTTCGAACATCAACTCAGTTTTTCCAATATTTTAATCATTGTTGTGGTGATGTTCAGCAGGATCTATTCACCCAATGGAAGACAGGATTGGAAATCTGTTTCCCAGATTTCAAGCAACAATGATTTTAACTTTCACAATAAATCAGAGAGAGAACCTTGGCTGACTCATCTACATTAAGTTGCCAAGCTATAGAGCTTGCAGCACATGAACTAACACATCCTCCTAAAATTGGAAGGAAATGCTGAATGGAATTATAACTTGTCAACCAGGCACAATGGCAGAGCCTGAAACCAGTGCTGTTAAAGAAAAAGTTTACCTTGTATTTCATTACTGCGCAAACAATTTTGTGTGACTTACAGGTGTAAATGTATTTTTCAAAAGTAACATGTATAGATTTAAAAATTTTAAAATCTATTGTTGGTCGATTTGTTCGAGCTCCTTTTTTGTATACAATGAAACTAAGTTACAGGCCTTGTTGTTACATATTACGTAATTGAGAACTCAAGTTCCTGGCATATGGCCAACGTTTATACAATGTTTAATCATTAAAGAGTAATGGCTTTAACCATTTATTGTTTAGATAAACATGATGACGTAAATCAGGTCAAACCACTGATTGTGAGGTTTTTATATTGCAAGCGATGCAAGGCTCTTCTCATACATACAAAACTTTGCAGAGTCTAACTGTGCAAAAACAGACCCTTCAGTCCGACATGTCCATGCCAACCAGATATCCTTTGGAAATCTAGTCCCATTTGCCAGCATTTGGCCCATATCCCACTAAACCCTTACTATTCATGTACCCATCCAGATGCCTTTTAAATGTTGTAATTGTACCCGCCTCTACCACTTCCTCTGGCAGCTCGTTCCATACATGCACCGCCCTCTGCATGAAAAAGTTGCCCCATAGCTCCTTTTAAAATCTTTCCCCTCTCACCTTAAACCTATGTCCTCTAGTTTTGTATTCTCCTACCCTGGGAAAAAGACCTTGGCTATTCACTTTATCCGTGCCCTTCATGATTTTATAAACCTCATTAAGGTCACACCTCAGCCTCTGACACTCCAGGGAAAATAGCCCCAGCCTATTCAGCCTCTCCGTATAGCTCAAACCCTCCAACCCTGGCAACATCCTTTTAAATCTTATCTGAACCCTTTCA